CCCCCCCCATTGCTTGTTGAGATGCTAAACTACAGGGGGAGTTATGCTGTTTAGCATTTTCTTTGAGATACACAGTCCCCTACATTGAGGGACTGCCTACTTCCTCAATGCAAGTGTTAATTAATGACTAAGAAACTATTGGACATTTATATTTCTCCTTCCTTTTCCCACCCACCATCATATTGGCTGATTTATTTATTTCAACAAACATTTATGGTACAACCATGCCAGGTGATGCCTGATGCAGGATTATGGATGTAAATAATTGGGTGAGAATCCTATTTGCAAGTATTCTTGGGCCAAGAGATAAAATGACATGTAGAGATAGAGACCTACAACATAGGGCATGGCATGGTCAGGGCCACCAAAAAGAACAGATAAAGTGTATGACAGCTTAAAGGACAGAAGTCATTGTTGGGTGGGAGTAGAATAGTGATCAGGGAAAGCTCCTGTAGGAGGAAGCATTAATTAAAACTAGTTTGTCAAAAAGTATTTTTGAGTAGCTACTGTGTGTCGGGCCCTAGATTTGATAGCTAGAAAGGTAAGTTTTGCATGTGTCAAGAAAGTAGAAAAATCACTCAATTTTCTATTCTGTCAACAAATATTTACTGTGTACTGGAACTGGGAATAAATCAACAACATGATATAGTCCCCTCAAGGAACTTATAATTAGTAGGAAAGACACCGGAAAAAAAAGATGACTGACTAAATCTTACCTAAGATGGTCAGTCAAGGCCTCTCTGAAGAAAGAATGTTTAAGCTGAAGCCTAAGGGATAAGATGGGGCCAGCCATGGAGAAAGTGAGAGGAAAAGGAACAGTATCTGCAAAGATCTTTGGTGTATTTGAAGCATTTCAAGAAGACAGTTGCAACTGGAATGCAGCAAGCTGGAGGAAGAGTGACCAATGAGGTTGGAGGGGCAGCCAGGACCCAGGCTGTGCAAGGCCTTGGGAAGGTCAGATTCTTACACTGAAGTATGATAGGGAGCCACTGAAGGGGCTGCAAATGGATGGGTAGGGGAGCAGGCAGTGAAACCAGCTAGGAGCTCATGCCTACTTCCCCACAACTTTGGGGAAGTAGCCACGAGCTCATTCAAAGGTAAGGAAACACAAGAGCAGCGGCAGAGAGGGGCAAAAGGATTCCATATGGCTGGGTGCAAGGTGCAGGGACTGGTAGGTGTTGTGGGAGGCACTGAAGACTATTTGAGCTACTTTGCAAGCCCTGCAAAGTGGGAAGCCAGGTCCAGCTTCTGAGCAGAGAAGAGACATTAGAGCTAGGTTTTAGAAAAATCCTTCGGGG